GCCCCCCCCCCCCCCCCATCCCCCGGGTTGAGGCTTTCTCTGCAGACAGCTGTATCCCACAAGGAAGGGTGATCTCAGCTGTGACAAACATTGCTTTAGGTCCCGAGGACCTTTAGGCAATGGCAAGTTACCTGGCTTGGTTTTCCCCAGTTTAGTGTTGTTGGAGCCTGGTGACCTGAGATAGGAGACAGGTCAATGATGGAAAGGGGTCAGAAGCTGTCACTTGGAGGCTGTGAAACTCTGGTGAACACCAAGGACTGAGGAGATTGTTGCTGGGAGAGTTTCTGAGAGAGCAGATTTAAACTCCAGGAGGGAGAGCCCATTGGTCTGTGGTCCTCTGGGGCTTCATCGACTCTGTTCCAGAATGCCGGTGGAAACCTCATCTCATTTCCAGCCCATTTTCCCTCTTCATGAGGACGTGAGGGCAGGCAGGTTCCTTTGCGAGGCTGCATGCACAACCACGGAGCTGGGGAGCGGGAGATCGGGGCCGAACTGCCTGCCACAGTTTTCCTGGGCAGCCTCAAAGTCTCAGAGCTCCAGATTGATTCCCCAGATGTCACAGAACTTCATGGTGTTCATATGTGAACTGAGGGTAGGAAAGAGCTTAGAAACCCAGGGAAAGCCCCTTTTGGAAGAGACCCACAGTGTGATGGAGGATAGAGCCACCCAGATGCCATGCCACTTGAATACAGTACTGGCTGGTAGAAATGACTTCCAGAAATGAGTGGAATTCAGTACAGAAATTTTTTCTGTTGGCTTTTTGTGTGAATCGTCTTAGAAGCTCCAGCAACAGATATTTTTATTCATGTAATGTAATTCTAATCTTAAACAGAATTATACTTTCATTTTCCAATAATATCTATAAGAGGTTTGGCCCGTTGGGAAGATAATTTAACCCTAATAGACGATAGTAATTGTCATAACTATCTTCAACATATGGCTGATGTAGAAAGTCTGCTCAGCTGCATGTAGGCAAAGGGGGAGTCTGCTGAAAGGCTTGTGACTTGCTTTATTTCAAAATAGTATAGTGTCCAGTGAACTGGGCATGTGGTTTACTGATCTGGTTATGAGCTAGGAAACCTCCCAAGCCTGTGTTCCTACATGACTCATTTGCTGTAAAGCTTTGGATGAGCTAGGCAGCTCAGATAAGCAAGAAAATGAAAGGCTTTGCTAGACATTCTTAAATAAATGTCTTATTTTTGATAGGACTTTAGGACAAAGTATTGGAACTTACAATGCCTGGCTTGAAATATGAATCAGGTATATTCTGTATTGCTCATTGCGGAACCTGATTAACTAAATCTGAAATTAATATATTTTAAACTTCCAGACGTGTTATATTTCACAGCACTTAAGACCCCATGGTTAGCGGGAATTTTGGTGACATTTGGAATATGAAGATTTTGGAATATGGTTATTGTTCATGATCTGGAATATGGTGAAAGGATTTTTCATTGCATTCAAGATCAGCCCAGTACTACTCTTCTTGCAGTCTGTGTAATTTACCCCTACTCATACCTTCTCCGTCTGGGGAGATGCTGATGTCTCTTGAGACAGGAAACCTGCTGGAAATTTTCCACCTTCAGAATCCAAAATCTGCAACTTAACCTGAGAATTCAACCCATTAGTTTCAGAAAAATGGGGATGAGATTAAAGAACCATTTTTTTTCTTTCTTTTCTTTTCTTTCCCCCTGTTTCACATGAGAAGCTCACATAAAACTAAAGAGGTCCCTGAGATTCTGTCCTGGGTTGTTAGTGCTTGAAAGGGATGACTGACCTTTCTGTTCACCTGTCCATGAAAACCAGGCTCTGCTTTTCCCATACTGCAGTGCTTGCATCAGCGGTGCCTTAGAAGAGTCTCAGACCCCTAATCAGGCAAAGAGATACTGCTGATGCTGCTGTCCTCCTCCATGGATAGAGATGCCCATACAGGGCATGGGAGACATTTCAGATCTTGGGGATGGACCTGTGGACCAGGATGCATCTGTTGCTGTGGGGAGCAGCCCAAACCTGGGGCTTCCAGCATGTTTGAACAGATGCCCTGTGGGGTCCATATCCATTTGCCACTAGTGATATATAAGACTATTGTCCGTGCCTATTCCGTGCCTATTGAAGAATCATGCAGTGTAAGTTGTGTTGCACATTTAGGTAAGAAAGGTGGATGTGTGGGGAGAAGACATGCCACAGACCACAACTGGAGAAAACAGAGTAAGGTTAACATCTTAACGCATGGAATATGTAATCCTGTGAAGAGATTCCCAAATAATCCATTGTGTCCTACAGGCCAGTGCAAATGAGCATATCCCTCAGTGCAGGGTATTTGGCTGAGCCCTTGTCTGCTAACATGGTTTGCAGCCTGCAGGATGGGTATCTGCACAGTGTAGATAAGGGAAGTACATGTGGGGGAGCATGAAGACAGATTCGGGAAGTCATTACTTCTGACAAGGTACCAGTGACTTGGTCGCTCTTTTCTCCATCTGAGCTGTCCAGAGCCACATCACTTAGGGCAGCAATGTGTGCTTCCTGTCCCTGCAGACTGACCTTGTCCTTTGTGTCATTGTGCCTTGTGCATCAGTGGCATTTGCTGTCACAACACACGTCCTGCAGCAACAGGTTCAGCTGCCCTGAGGAAACAGGGAGGGAAAGCAGGAACATCTGTCCTCTGACCTGCCTTTCTTCTGTGGTCCTCCTTGGTCTCTGATCGACAGTGAGCATTGCTGTTAGACTCAGAGAGACTGTTAGACCACAGATGTCTTCCCAGCATCGCTAATCCTCCCTCCTGATCGCTTTTATTGCTGACACCAGGTTCCTAAGCCATTTGCTCTTGCATCATCTTCTGCCCCACCAGGGATGCTGTGAAATAGGGTCTGTCTCATCCTGCCCATACTTCCAAAGGTGGAGGCTCCTGACAGGCACCTCTTCCCTGGGAGCCCAGTGCAGGAGCAGTGCTGCGGCTGCCGGAGCCCATCATGGTTCTGAGGGGCCTCACTAACGCTCATTACTTTGGTTATGTTTACTTGTGATTAGTTACAGTGGAACTGTTGTAGGAAGTCACAGCCTTACTTAAGCAGAAATTAGCCATAAACAAAAAATAAATTATACAAATGCCTAGGGGAAACTCCTCTGCAAACAGTGTTCAGTCGGCTAGTCAAGTTTCCTGACCAAAGAAGCAGCTGCACCATGCCCACGGGGGAACCAGTGTTTCTCCTGTTTCGTTAGCAAAAGTGTCAAGACGTGGGATTAGTCTGGACAAATAAGGACAGTGGTGGCTTCTCCTGCAGGTGCCCTGGCAAGGGTGGCAGCCAGGGCTGCAGGCTCCTCTGTCTCCAACACGAAACCCAGTGCCTGTTTCCCCTAATGCTTGGAGAACAGGAATGCATTTTGGATGTCACGCCAACAGACTTCTCCCAGCAGCTGGGCTGTGGGGAAAAGAGGTTAATTTTGGCTCAGAGCTCTGTGTCTTGCTGGCTCATGAAGAAGGGAAGCATCATGAGGCCTGAGGATCGTTGCTGCTGGGGAGCGTGGCCCTGGCGTGGGCTGATGTCAGAGCCTCTGGGCTGGCTCTGTGGCAGATGTGTCAGAGCTGGTTGAAAGGAAGGAAACTGTGGGGAGACCCAAATAACAGGAGAAGCCAACATGTACTCTGAGGAAAGAAAAGAGAAGGTAAAAAGGGAGGCAAGGGTGCACTGCCAGCTGGTAGGTGGTGAGTGGGGTACAGAGGAAGAGAACTTTGTGGAGGTGCAGGATGTCTCTGAGGTTGGGGTTAGCACAGGCTGGTGCAGCTGCCTGAGTCCTGGTCTCCAGTCACCTCGCACCTGGCAGGCTGAGGGAATCGGATCATTCTGAGGGGAGTTTTCCCCCCTCTGCTGACAGGAGATGGAAACCCATATAGCAGGTTCTGGCCTGGCAGCTGCAGAGGGAGTGGGGGTGTCTGTGTCATGGGTCAGCAGTGCTTTCCCATTCCTCCTGTGCACCCTCGGGCACAGCAACAGGGCTTCT